ACCAACCACAGTCATGGCGCCTGGAAAGTGGGGTACGTCATATTCGCTGCCTCTGCGCCTGCGCTTCAATATGGATATTTGCAGGACCCTTCGCTCACAACGTCCCAGATGATGAAGAAGAGAGCTCAGGCCCTCCATCTCCGACCGTAGCACCCATCGCCCGCCGCAGCAAATTTGAAGACGAAGAAGATGAAGATGTGTGTCATCCCTCTCTGCCCCGCGCTCGCATAATTTCCAACCCCGCCATACCACATCTTGCACATGCTGACTGCGTACCCAACAGGTGCTAGAATCATGGGACGCTGCGGAAGACTCTGAAGTCGAGCGTGAAAAGGCGAAGAAGGCCGCTGAGGCAAAGGCAAAGGCAGATGCAGAGGCAAAAGCAAACCACAAGTCCAAGGCGCAACGAATCGAGGAGCACAGACAGGCTGCCCTGCGCAGGCGGCAGATGGAGGATGAGGGAGAGAGTGAAGAAGAAGAAACTGAGGCTGAACGCCGTGCAAGACTACGCCAACAAGAAATTGACGGCTCGCGTGCCCAGGCCGAGGAACTCTTTGGTGACCTGACCGTCAGCAACAAGCGCAGCGGCAAGGCTGTCACAATCGCGGATGAGAGCGACCCAAACAACACCATCAACCTCTCCTCGCTCTCCATCTTCAACCCAAACACCAAGGACCAGTTCACCAAGCTACGCGAGACGCTCACTCCCCTGATCGCTGCCAACTCTAAGAAAGGACAGTACACTCTCTTCCTGCAAGAGTTCACCAAGCAGATTGCCAAGGATCTTCCCAGCGAACAAATCAAGAAGATTGCCTCTGGTCTGACTACGCTGAGTAACGAGAAGATGAAGGAGGAGAAGGCAGCCGAGAAGGGAGGAAAGAAGACGAAGGCGGCAAAAACGAAGACGACGCTCAACGCAAGTCGTGATGTTGGTTTGAAGGCGGATACCCGGGCGTATGACGATGATGACTTTGGCGAGTAAGTTTCTTCCTGGTTGTTTCCTTGCATGTGCGTATATGGATGGACTAACACATTTCTGCAGTGATGACTTTATGTGAGGCGTATTGCCGTTCTTCTACCTATACGCCTTTCCCGCATACAACATGCTTTGCGTTCAATGTAGGCGCTTACCACTTTGTCGCACCGTCCTTGCGGTTCGCACACGCGAGTCTACAGACAATGAGCGCAGCAAATTTCTTTGATCCCTCTGGCATTTTTCACTTTCACCTTGCTCTCTCTTTTCTTTGGTCTGGTATACAGTTTGCTTCAAAGGGTCTCAAAACAGCCTAGGTTGCACGCATGTAGACATGTTTTTTGGCTTTACCATATACACAGATTAACATGATTCTTCTTTACATTCCATTCATGAGTCCCCCCCCCCAAAAAAAAAGAAAGAGTGCTCCGCCCAAGATACTGTGATTGTCTCTTCCATACAAGAAGGGAAAGCAGCGAGCATGTGCTTTTTTTTCTCTATAATCCAGCTACAAAACTAGAAAAAAAAGGAAGGGAAATCGATGCGAAATTCGCTCAATCTCCCGTTCTCGAGTTCTCAATCTTTGTCACAATCAAGTCGGTTGCTCCGACCTCGGTCAGCTTATCCATGGCAATGGCAATGTCTTTGCGCAGCACCATGGCCTGAACTGCCACCCATCCATCTTCCTCGAGCGCATTTACCGTTGGGGCGCGACGACCCGGGGTAATTGTGCGGGCGGCATCGAGTTTCGACCTGGGAACATTGTATGTACAAAGCACATATTTTTGCGCCGCTGTGACATCGTTAGATCTTCCTCTTTTTTTCGAATATATTCTTTGTCTTTGGGGAGGGAATCAAAACTTACTAATAACACCCTTTATCCTAGCCGTGATGAGGTCCACAAGCTTAGGGTCTGAGGGGTGCTTCGACTTGATGAGGATGGCGCTCGAGGTAACAACTGTAGATATGGCTTTTAGACCCGCAGCACGCATCGTCTCGCCTGATTCTACGAGATCGACAATACCGTCTGCGACGCCCAATGCGCATGCTGCCTCGACACTGCCACCGACATACTTGATGACCGTCTTTAGCTTTGTGTCTCCGTTGGTCTCGCCGTTCGTGGCGTTACCAGCCTGCTCCGCTTCCAATTTCCTAAAGTATTGCTCTGCGAGGTTGGTAAAGCTCGTAACGACGTTCTTTCCAATCAGATCTTCTGGCTTGGTCAGGTCGCCTTTGGCAGGGACCTGGACTTGGAGACTGCACTTTCCGAAACCAAGGTCTAGCACTTCGTCGACGCCGGTCGTGGCGGTGGGTGGGGTGACGCATTCGTGCTCGGCGACTTGGTCGCGGCCGGTTATGCCAAGGTCTACACGGCCTTCACCAACGAAGGTGGGGATATCGGCGGCAGGAAGAAAGACGAGCGCAAGTGGGAGGTTCTTGACGAGCGCAATGTCGAGGCGCGAGTGGCGGTGGAATTGGATGTCTGAGCCGTGGAGGAGATCGAGACAGGCTTGGTGGAGGCGGCCCTCTACGAGGAGACGTCAGTATGTGCGCAATTGAGCGGAGTCTGATGAAACACAACAAAACGTACTCTTTGGCACAGCGAAGAGAAGGCGATCATTCAAACTGTTTCCCAAAAGGTCAGTCATAAAAGGAAGACTTCGACTACCCTGTCGCGGCCTCTGCGCGACTTCATCCAGTGAACCATTGATGCCGACTAAGAAGCCCATATTTGCGGCAAGCTAAACCAAGAGTAATTCTAAGATAGTAGCAACAGGGAAAGCAAAGGGAAAGAAGGGGGAAAACAAAAGTAGTAGGACCGACATACGAGTTAACGAGATCCATTCTTTTCCACTCTGAGTGTGCACAAGCACGCAATTGACCAGCAGGGATTCGTCGTAAGGGTAGTATGCAAATCCACGCGCAGTGTAATGCGTGATGCAAGCTATCGTGTTTAGGAACAAAAAAAATGGGGGACGCAGAAAGATGTGCTCTTGCTGGTAACAGTCTAGAGCACGCCCAGGATTCCCGCGTCGACGGCGAAGTGGGATTGGCGGATCGCTCGTGGGATATAGGACAGGTTTAGGGTGTAAGATGCACACGTCTTGCGTGGTTTTTTTCTCTCTCCGTGTTTTGTGTACAGCAAGTGTCGGTTGATGCGCGAAAACATGCGCCGTCCGCGGCTTGTTCGTGGGGGAGGCTAGGCAATTTGCAAAGTGACTCAATGAGGGGTACAATAAGCTACACGTGTGGCCCGCTGGCTAGTCTCCGCTCGTCAAATGAGGTTGCGAATGTATGTATGTATAATACATATTTGTTAGATGTTTGATAAGTCCAGACGCGTCAATGACTGCAGTCCCCGCTGTCGTGCCGACATGTGGCCTCGGAATGTTTTTTTCTGTCGCAGGATGACGTCCAACCATTGCCCCGCGTTGTGCTGCGGCTGGATGAGTGCGACAAAGGCGGTGTCGGCTGGCACGATTTTACTTTGGTATTGTCGACGTATCCTCTTCGCATGCACCACGGACATGCCATGAGTATGCAGAGTTACATATAACGCAGCGTGATATGTGTAGTTTGACGAGCATGCAGCTAATTGTTCTTAAGGTGTGAACAAGTTTTGAAATGGACATTTCAGACGATCTGTACGTGTACATTAATTGGATACAATGCTCCTAGTACAACCGTGAACATACTTTCTGTAACGACTTTATTTGTGACTTACTCGTGTTGCGTGAAATGAACTCAGCATAGCGCACGCGCAACAATCCACGAATTTGAGAATTGGAAAGCTGGCAACACGTCCTTGGCGTAAACTAAAACATGTCAGATCAACATGGTACAGCTGCATGTCTTATCGTACTCGAAATCATTGTACTTAGTGGCAGGAGGTGATGCGCAAGTACTCAATGATGGATTACGGGTACTCTACGAACAAATGGTTCACAAATCAACAAGAGTGATATGTATCAATGGCGCCTAGGTTTGAGTTTAAACTAGAGGAAAAAGAAGACGAACATCACCAACCCAGCTACTGAGTAGTTGACCCTACAAGATGGAAATAGAAGAAGGTCTAGCCCAGCACTGCCTTCACCGGACTCGTGTGTGCCTAGACAGGGGTTGAATGCACAACCACCGCCTGACGACGCGCTAGTGGAGAGTCTCCCGACGTGGCTAGGACCCACTATTGACAATTCACAAACGCGTTTTCGTTCGACTTAGGACGTTGGGTAACGGTGCGCCTTCTTGGGCCATATCAGTTTCGGTCTATATTTACGAATATATTTTGCTCTCTTCCATCAAGCATTCTTGGTCCAACGGTAGGATAATTGCCTTCCAAGCAATTGGCCCGGGTTCGACTCCCGGAGGATGCATAACATCCTTCTCTCGATTGCAACGTTATGACTTTTTTTGTTTTGCTGCGGGTTGGTCGAGGGAAGATCCGATTGACTAGCCCGCTCTCTTTTTGCGCTGCTGTATGTCACGCCTTAGGTTATCTCTCACTCTAAGAAACCCCCCCTAACACAAAAAAAGCTTGGTGAGTAGCTGTGATCTGTTGATTATTTAGCAAGTCCCCTTGTCAGAGACGTTTTCATTAACGACTGAGTGCTTGTGGTTCTACGAAAATCTTGGATGGATGCATAATTACGAAGGCGAATAAGAATATTTGAATAATAAGCTGATAGTAACAGCTGGAATATCGGAATGAAACTACATGCGTGTTTGCATACTCTACCCAGAGTGCACTTAACAGCAAGCTTGAGGACAGGGGATTGAGAAGGCTGGAATCATAGATCTGCTTGATCGGATCTTGTTCATTATTGAAAGCGTATTCATGTACTTTCGACATATGTGCATCCACCTGTTCAAGAACTCCCGCTCCCTTGGCTGAAATGTGACATATTTATACGCTGCGAATCATCCCGAAACGCTATTCAGTCCATGCTGATAGCACGACAGTGAAACTGAAGCCACGAACTTGCTCGTCTATCGCGGCCTTGAAACCCCAATAGCAGAAACTATTTCGCTAGCGTTCATTCTCTGAAACTGCACGTACAGTCGATGCCTCAGACATTGCTCGAACTGTAGACTCGGAGTCTGTCGACGTAACATGCGAATCGATCGATATGACCGACGGCTGCCTAGCATACGTGCTCGGTCGCTCCTCATCATATGCCTCTCCATCACTCATATTCTCATTCATATCCTCATTGCTCTCATCGTGTACGCTTGCGGCTTTGGCCTCCAGAGCTGTCATACGGTTCACAAACTCTTTTTGTAATTCACTGAGCCATGCAGAGAGGACCTCTCCTTCCAGTACGCCATTATACGCCTGAACCAGATGCTCTTTGAGATTGAGAATAAGCTTTCGACGCTTTTCTTTAAGTACTGTTTCCGACGCTTTCTTGTTTCGAATAGCATGAAGCTCAATTTTGCGCGCGACGTTTGTAGCATGCTCCACAATACCTGGAGGTAGTGGGACGACGCGAGCAAGCGCCAGACCGTAGTGTACTTCTTTGGCGACGCCCTGGGTTGCTTTGTAGAGCATAGTCATGCTGTGCTCGTCTTGAATCTGCAATGGTGAGCTGATGTTTCGATCAGGGCGTAAATACTTACATCAACCGCTAGGTGTAGATTCAAAACTCCAGCACGTTCACTCATGATAGTAGCGAGATCTTTGAAATGAGTCGCAAACCATACGAGAGCCTAAAAATGTTAATAGTGACAAGTGGTTATGTTTGAACGCCTACTTTGCTAGATAGAAGAGCTTCCGCAATAGCCAAGGCAATGGCTAGACCATCTCTTGTGCTTGTGCCACGACCTAGCTCATCAACTATGATTCTAAAATGGGATCAGCAATGCTGTAGCGTGATCATGGCTTATTTCATACAAGCTGCGTTGGTCGACATTGCGCATGATGAAAGCAATCTCTCTCATCTCAGCCGCGAATGTCGAAACATTGTTTTCAATGATGTCGTCGGTTCCGATCCTGGCAAATAGCTGGTGAAGTATTGGAAAGGATGCATAGTTCGCAGGAACACTGCATATAGTAAATGGCTGCAATGAGCGAATTGAAATGGTTATCACTTACTAGCAACCGATCTGAGCCATGATGGTCATGAGAGCCAGGGACCGAATGTAGGTACTTTTGCCACTCATGTTGCATCCGGTGATGATCTGAAATCGAGTCTGCTGTGTAGCATAGGCATCATTTGGAATGAACTTGGTTTGCATAATCTTTTCTTTGATAGGATGACGCCCAGACTCAATAGCGAATGTGTCAGTGAGCTGTGGTTGTGCTGAAAATCTATCAGTTTATATATCAAAGTAGGCTTGTCACCTACTGTAGTTATTCACTGTGACAAGGTGCGCAAATGCTCCAACCTATAATTAATAAGCTCCTTTATTGCGGTAAACCAGCGACTGAGACTTGCCATGTCCAGCATTGCTACAGCTTCACAAACCTTGAACAATATCGACATGTGGCTGCGTACTTGTTCGGTGAGATCTCCGACGGCTTTGTCGCCTGCACGATTTTAGTAGAGACATAGACGCATAGACAGATGACTATAGTCACTCATGAGAATCACTTCCTGGTGTGACACGTTGATCTTCCAATCGTTAGCATGCGCGAGTTTGGTATCCGTAACTGCCTGCCTTCTGGTTGCGCTTCATCAACTCCACAGTTTGACACTCAATATGATTGTGGCGACGAATTATGTTCGTGAAAACCGGCGGTAATGCCTTGCCTTCAAGCTCTGATAAGGCAATCTTCATGTAAAACTGACGGGCAGTTTCATACTTCAAATCTAGTTTGATATCGTATTTCTCTGCTTGAGATTAGCAAACAAATCTACGTCTTCGAAAATGCATTGGCATACGACTGAGTTCGGTCGAGTGTTGAAATGCGTCTTCAGTGGCCTCCTTATAAGTAATACGTGCAACATCGAGGAGCCCGTTGACACCGGATTTCACAGCATATGTTCGTTGGTTTCTGAGTTCGAGGGGTTGCCTCGCGTAAGTAGTGTCTTCGTTGATGACAAGATCAATCAATCCCTGTACAACGGCCACATTCTCTGGCGCACAGAGTTCACGGATGTTGTTGAGCATGACAGAGGCTGTTCCCGTGAGGGCTTCGTAGACAGGGTTCACAGAGTTGACAAATTGCTTGAGCATAATGATTTGGTTGATAGCTTGCTCTGTGGTGTGAAGAGTAATCTTCTTTGGCGTAATGATCAACGCTGCCAGTATCCGGTCGGCATCAAGAAAGTTCTTCAACGCTGCGCGGACAGCAAAAAACAACTCCTCTTTCTTGGTCATGTCATCCACAGCAGCGTATCGCATACTCAGCACCTCAGGGTCAGTGAGTGGCTGAAGGATGTTGCTCCGAAGCAGGCGTGCACCCATTGGTGTCAATGTCTCATTGATCAAACCGAATAAACAGCTTCTGGATTTGGGGTCGCGAAGATTCTGGACAAGTTCAAGCGAATGTATAGTTGACACATCAATCATCATAGATCCCTCAGAAGGCTCGTACCGCATTCTGAGTGAGTGCAAGGCGAATACCATACTTAAACCAAGGTCAATGTACTTGAGCGCCTACACGCTTGGTTATTCACGTAGTTAAAAGTACACCGAAGAACTTACGGCCGCAATGCAGCATACAGCATAATAGTTACCTGCGACGGAAATCTGGATAGCTTCGACATCTTCCTTGAACGCTAGAGTTTGAATATACTCGTATCCAGTTGATTCGGCCCAATAGCGCCGATCGAGTAATGTTAGCTTACTGCCAATATCCTCAAGGTTTTCCTCGATGATAGAGAAGAGCTTCGACTTTGGACTTGCCGCAGTCGACACAATCAAGATCTCTGAAGGGCCATATACTCTCAGCTTGTGAACTGTTCGAACAAAGGTCTGGCTGTCGCAGATCTGACAGAGCACTGCCTCTGCTGTGTCAAGGTTCACAAAGGCCAAGCCGACCGTAGGTGAGATGCCACGAGATTCGGCAACGGCGCAGACAACATGCTGGTTTTCGACCCTAGCAATAGTGGAAGCACCAGTCCTCGGCCTCGCAGTAGAGGGCCTGCCAGTATTCCTGCGAGTTCCTGGGCGTGACGCCGTAGTGGTATCGTAGCCAGCATAGCCATACGACGTGGATGCAGAGGTACTCTGAGAAGTTTGCGGCTTGGATCGCTGGATCATGGTGGTTAGTGTTGTGTAGTCAGCATTTAAGCATTGGTATGTGCAGATTGCTTGATTCACTGGACTTGAGTTGTAATGAATTGATGTGAATGGAGTAATGGTATTGGAGACGCGTCGAGAAGTGGGGGAATACTTAGCGCGTATTTTTGGTACCAACACCTACTAGCGCAGTCGTTATCGATAGCACCAGAAATTATTTTCGAGCGCTCTTCAGCCAGTGGGGCTTCTTCAAGTACATACAATTCGGGCAGATTGTGTTTATTACCTCTCCAATCACACCTGGAAAACTGCACAAGCTATGGCGACCCTATATCCACCTCCATCGAAGCGTCAGAAGCGAGCGCAAGCCGAAGTCGCGCGACAACAACAAGACATTGACACCTCCATACCCGATGGCACAGTGCGAGTGCGCTTCGTGGACCAGGCCACAGGCGAAAGCGGCAATCTCCCCGTTCTTACCGTCCCATTGTCGCAGGCGTCGACCAAGAATCTGGAGCTGCTTTTGAACAATCTAAAAGACCAGGCAGACGACCAAATACCGTATCGGTTCTTTCCCGACGGTACGACTGAAGCGCTTGCAGACAAGGATGATCTATACAACGCGCTAGTTAAGCCGGGAAAGGCATCAGCGGAAGCCGAGATAGTGCTCCAATATGCGCCACAAGCTGTTTTCCGTGTCAAAGCGGTCTCGCGGTGCTCAGCAGCTGTGTCAGGACATGGCGACAACATCTTGTCCATAAACTTCTCGCCAGTCAGCTCCAGCAGGATGGCGAGTGGAAGTGGAGACAAGACCGTCAGGGTATGGGATTGCGACACAGGCACACCAGTACATACGATGAAAGGACATTCGGGGTGGGTTCTGGCTGTCAGCTACTCACCCGATGGCTCCCTGCTGGCGTCCGGTGGGTACGACAGAGAGGTGAGGATATGGGACCCAAACACGGGAAAGCAGATTGGAGGCCCGCTCAAGGGCCATACTGGCTTCATCACATCCCTCTCCTGGGAACCATATCACTTGCAAGAGCCTGGCCGACCGCGAGTAGCATCGTCATCCAAGGACGGTACCGTAAGAGTGTGGGACGCAATAGGCAACAGAATTGATTTCGCACTGTCAGGTCACAAGGGTAACGTGACTTGCGTAAAATGGGGTGGTACTGGACGGATGTATACTGCCTCTCACGACAAGACCATCAAGGTATGGGACGCAGCAAAAGGCACATTGATCAACACGCTACAAGGCCACGCGCATTGGGTCAATCATCTTGCCCTCTCCACGGACTTTGTCTTGAGAACCTCGTATCACGATCATACGCGCAAGGTGCCAGCCACACAAGAAGAGAAGCTTGCCAAAGCGAAAGCACGATTCGAGAAAGCCGCCACAATCAACGGTGAAGTGATAGAGCGCTTGGCAACTGCATCTGAAGACTGCACAATCATACTATGGACGCCTTTGACAAGCACGAAACCAGTGAATAGGATGACCGGTCATCAGAAGCAGATCAACCAAGTAACTTTCTCGCCCGATGGTTCCATGTTGGCATCGGGAGCTTGGGACAATCATGTCAAGTTGTGGTCAGCTCGAGATGGAAAGTTCATCGACACCCTCAGGGGACATGTCGGTCCTGTATATATGACGTGCTTCTCTGCTGATAGCCGGCTACTGGCGAGCTGCAGCAAAGACACGACATTGAAGGTGTGGGACATGAGAACCAGGAAGCTGAAGGAAGATTTGCCAGGACACAAAGACCAGGTGTTTGCGCTGGACTGGAGCCCGGACGGAGAGAGAGTCGGGAGTGGTGGTGCAGACAAGCAAGTGCGGATTTGGAGCAACTGACAAGAGACTACTCACAGCGTGACGATAGTTTGCAATTGATACCCCTGGTGCGAATGTGATCATGCTATCCCATGCCTAATATGCTCGGTGCCGTTATACATATATAGCATATGTCGCTAAAACAGGGCATACCCGACAACTAGCTGGTAGAGTCGAAGGGCAGAGTGGGGCCGATCGGCAGAGGCTTGGCAGTCCCCGCAACAGGAGTGGCTTTACGTGGCGTGACAGATTGTGGCGACGTCATCGCTCTGCCACTCGCAAAAGCACGAACGGCTCTTCGGCGCTGCAGTCATGGGTAGTGTGGCGCTGGCGCACAAAGTGGAGCTACATGGGCGTGGTGTGGCCAATGTCATGGAAACTCAGGCGCGTACCTACGTCAACTGTGAAGAAAAGGGAAACTCTACCCTGTCGTGCACACGAATGCTGAGCTACTATTGTGGGTTTCAGGACATCAACACGTTCCTTGTTTCCTGGCAGTCAGATATACAGATGTGTTCGCGATAAATCCCTCTCATCTTTGCTCCCATCGCTTGAGCATACCGCCAACAGCACATATTATTGCCAAACGTCTCAACATGTCCGGCGTGGACGACGTAGATGCTCAACATAGAGACTACCGACGGCCACACAACGCACATAACCCAATTCCGACAGTCCAGAAGTATCGTGAGGAGAAGCAGAGAAGGCAACAAGCGTACGGGAACCCAGATGGTGAGAGCAATGAGCCGAGCAAACGCGATCGGTTCGGCGACGCTGTAGATGTCTTCAGGTTCGGAAGAGACGTGGAGCAGGCCAATGATGGAAACGGGCCGTACCCAGCTACAAACAAGAATCTCCCGCAAGACGATGAAATTGCCGAAGATCATGCTGGCAAGACAGTACCTAGCAACAGCCACAGAGATGCACCCCAGGATATGGATGACGAGCAAGAGGTGGAAGACACGACAGAAGGCGGGTTGAAATCAGCAGATCCTAGAAAAGCCCGCAAACAGATGAAGCATTTCAAAGCCGATGGTACAGAGCGCTTAGTCACCGACCCGATTACCCATCTGCCCATCAAAGTTCACGATTTTACCGATCGAGAGCTCAAGAGCACTGCAAAGAACCCATCACCGCCCGGCTCAGATCCTCGGACAGCGACCGGCACTAATGCTATTAACAAAGGTGACGAGCAATTGCAAGCCGAAAGCTATGAATCGCAAGAAGCCCATGCAGGCATGGAGGTCTTGTTTCCCCCTCCGTCCTTTGATCGGACGCGAGATGAGATTTCCACAGTCTACATGCATGCTGTGACTATTGGCGTGGGTGCTGCCGCTGTCAGTTTAATGTTGGTTAATGCCTTGTTCTGGCCAACGCGTCATTCCACAGGTTGGACAAGGCAGCTGCTCAAGCTCGTTGAGCTCAGTACAATGGCAACAGTGTCTGGAGCCATTATCCTATTCATGCGCCAATGGTCAGAGAACAAGATTAAGAATGTATGGGACGTGGAAGTTTGGAGAGCAGAGCGGGAACGCGGTCAAGAATTGGCCAAAACCCAGACAGCCGAAAGCACTCAATGGCTGAACTCACTCTTTGCATCAGTATGGCCGTTAATTAATCCCGATCTATTCACGAGCATCTCCGATACGCTTGAGGTGAGTACCAAAATACACATGGCGATTTCTCAAACTAACAGTCGCAGGATGTAATGCAAGCTTCTCTTCCTGGTATGGTTCGTATGGTCGCAGTCGAAGATATTGGTCAGGGTAGCGAGGCTCTTCGTATTCTCGGTGTTCGCTGGCTACCAACGGGAGCAGCAGCTCGATCAGTGGGCGCTGATGGAAATCTTAAATCTTCAGATGAAGAGAAGGACGACCGTACTGTGCCAGACGATGGAGAAGGCGAAGATGGAACGACAGGCCACGATACCATGGAGGCTGAAGATGGCGACTTTGTCAACTTGGAAATCGCATTCACGTACAGACCCTCGACAGGACAAGGTGTCAAGACACGCGCAAAGCACGCACATTTGCTGCTGGCTTTCTACCTTCCGGGAAACGTCAAGCTACGTAAGTTGAGTCATTACGCACTTTTGTAATTCACTAACATGGTAAAGCTGTCTGGGTTGACCTTGCGGGTATGGTTGGCGTTATGCGCTTTCGTCTACAGCTATGCCCAGATCCTCCATTCTTTTCTATTTGCACCATAGCCTTCATGGGCCAGCCGAAAGTGACTCTGTCTTGCGTCCCGCTCATCAAAAAAGGACCTAATCTTATGGACGTCCCTCTAATCTCGAAATTCGTTCAGTCATCCATGGACGCCGCCCTAGCCGAATATGTCGCGCCTAAGTCTTTGACACTGGATCTCAAAGACATGATGATGGGAGACGACTTTAAGAAAGATACGGTCGCACAGGGCGTGATCATGGTGCACGTCAAACATGCTTTCGACTTCAAGGAGGGAGACACAAAGATTGGTCCCTGGGGTGGTTCCGCGGATCCTTATGTCAGTGTCGGCTGGGCCAAATTTGGCAAGCCGCTCTGGTCCACACGTGTCTTGAAATCGAACATGGAGCCCCATTGGGATGAGTGGTGCTTTGTTTGTGTCACTCGGGACGAGCTGAATGTTGATGAAAAACTGAGACTTCAACTATGGGACTCCGATCGCATGACCGCCGACGACGACCTCGGACGCATTGAGCTGAATCTCAAAGACATAATGAAGAGTAATGAGACCAATGGCAGAATGCACGATCGCGAAGACGGCTTCCATGCTCTAAAGGCTGGGCAAGGTATGCCTGGAAAACTGAGCTGGAGTGTCGGCTACTTTTCGAAAACTAGAATTACCGACGACCAGCTGACTATGCAAGAAGAGGACCCGGACGTGAACTCTATACAACAGTTGAAAGAAAAGGTATATAAGGAAGCGGAGGGCAAGCTTCGGGAGGCAAGCGAGGATCACCGAAATGAGGTGGAACAGCAGAAGGCTGAAGATTTCAAAAGCCGCCAAGATGAACTCATCATTGCCTCCCCACCTTCTGAAGACTATCCGTCCGGTATCCTTAGCATCCAGATCCACCAGATTACCGGATTGGAGCTGGAAACTTTGAACAAGCACAAAGTTTCGGCGGAGGCTACTGACGAGGAAGAAGAGGGTGATGACCTCCCTTCGGCATATTGCAACATCATCCTCAACCACAAGAAAGTCTTCAAAACCCGGACCAAGCCAAAGAACTCGAAGCCCTTTTTCAACGCTGGATGCGAACGCTTCATTCGAGATGTGCGTAATACTGAAGTGCATATTGCCGTCCGCGATGCTCGCGTCCATGAAGATGATGCTTTGCTAGGCATTGTCTATCTCCCATTGGAGAGAGTGTTCAAAGAGCGCAGCCAGATTAACTCCATCTTCCCGCTTGCTGGGGGAAATGGCTATGGGCGCATGCGCGTCTCTATGGTTTTCCGAAGTGTGCAAGTCCAACTTCCCCGGGAACTGCGTGGCTGGGATTATGGAACTGTGGATATCAAACCCTATATCAAGGGTGTCGATGTTCCTAGCGACATAAGTCCTCTCAGGCTCAAGGTTCGCACTCCACTGGACCGTGGAAAGTTGCATTCACGCGGGCGTAAAGGTAACGTCCACTCAGAAGATGGCCACCCTGTTTGGACTACAAGGAAAAGCCGGCCGATTCGCTTGCCCGTACGCGCACGCTACTGTGCACCATTGATTTTTGAGTTCAGACAGGATGCCACGTTGAGAGATCGCACACATGCGTTTTGCATCTTCTGGCTCAAGGACATTCCAGACAACGAGGAGCAAACGAAATGTCTTACTATCTGGAAAGGCGATTTGAAACGCGCAGAAGGCAATGTACTCGACTCGTATGGTGAAAAGGTAGGCGAGATCGAGGTCACACTGACAATGTGGTCTGGTCTATCTGGATATCATGAGAAGCTGGCAAAGGGTGACAAGCATCTTACCAACGTCATGGAAGTGCTGGACACTTGTAATGACCAAGAATGGACCAACTGGGAGGAATCGGACGGCTCGGAGAAACCTGGTATCAACGACAACAAGGATACTGAAGAAGACAGCTCCGATAGCTCAGACAGCTCCGACTCATCTGACGACGAAGATGATGGACACGAGGAAGACGCCAAAGATGATAGTGGTAACATGGCGCCCGATTTTCTTAAAAAGCACAGGAAAACCGATTCAAAGATGAGTGAAGACCGCGGCAGGGGCCCAATCACACAATTGAAGGAGTATAAAACATCTCACAAAACGTTGCATCGCAAGAACAGAGGAATCATGCAATGGAAGGGGCCGCGGACGCTTGCCTGGATGAAGCACGTGGGCGATAGGGGAAAGAGGAAGGTGGAACACATCTTCCACCATCACGAAAGAAACGGAGACGAGATTGAGACAGAGGTCTAGACCATTTCATTAGCATAGCGGTGTGCGTTTGGCGTTATCTTCCCGGTTAGGAAATGTAACATTAATGTAGTTTGATTTCGGTTCAGTTACAATGAATAATTACTGAAAGCTATTCTCCGCCCACTCAAGTACTTCTGTGAAGTCCCTGACCCAGAAAACACCACTCCCTTTATGCTGCCCCCACTCTCTCAACTTTGGGCATGGTACTCCCAGTCTCGTGAGCGCATCAGCAAGCGTCTTCTGTGAGCTTCCCATGGGACCATCGCGGATGCAGATACCGAGGTCTGCACCTAGCAGACACTCGATATCCGTCCAACTATCACCAATGTACACCTTGGGCTCGTTTGCCTCCTTAATCTGTTCAAAAATTTGCAGTTTGTCACCACTGGATACAATGGGGTCCGGTTCTCCCGAAGCTGCAGCAACGATGCGACCAGACGAGGGCACCCCGGCGGATATACCGTCGAGCTCGTTGGACAGGATAGCGTTCGAGGCTACGCTGATGTTGGATGTGGCAAGGCTGGAATGAATGAAATGGCAAGACCAGTTCACACTCAGAATGGCAAAAGCGTCACCCTCACGTGACT